GCAGGTTTGCCCACTTACAAAGAATGCTTATTTTTCCTCATCAGATTCTTATCAATTTTTATAAATTCATATGATGTGATTTTCTGGAATTTTCTTTGGGATTCTGTCTTTCACTGTTAGAATGTACATATGATTAAAGTTATAGATCGTTTGCATTCTTTGTAAGTGGGCAAACCGGCAAAATCAGCAAGGGGTCAAATACTTATTTCCCCCACTGTAAATGTGGATAATCACTACCAGATGTCTTCCTACTGCTGGAAGCATGGCTGCTACAGCTGGAACACGCCGCCTTCGTGAGGCTGCACGCTGAATTATTCATTTCTAAAATCATGATGCATCACTATTGCTTCTGGTGTCCCTCGTTGTTGACTCTCTGTACACGTTTTCAAATCGGAGAGCTTAGAGTTAGTCAAGCGAACGTTTCTAGGCTTAACCCTTTAAAGCCTGATGCAAGAAAAGCAGGAAGAATATTGGATTTTTTTAGTCTGAAGTCTTTCTTTGGCCCCTCAACAACATATGAAGAAAAAAACACAAATAATTTTGATCAAATAAGCGTGCAATAAGTCATATATGTATTTTTGTGTAGTCTTCTACTGGCTGTTATCAGGTATATCTGAATGTGTATAACAGGGGTTTGAGCAAAGCTTTTACCACTGAATGATGCAAAAAGTCTCAGATCCAAAAGACTTCAGAAACCGTATCAAATATGACACATCTGGCATTATAGGGTTAAAATAGATTTTGTCACAGTTCCGAAACAAATGTTTGGCAGTGAACAAAAGGACCCGGATTGATAAAAATCCAGGAGTTAAACGCACCACTGCAGCTGCAACATATCACACTTTATTCTCATGCGTTATAATTCCATCCCTCCACCAAACCGGGGGCCAGATCCAGCCATTAGTTCAGTTATTACTCTGTTATTAAGGAAAAACACTGCCTTCCAACAGCCCTGAAATGGGCTCCGGGCTGTGGGTAAAGACCCTGGATGGATGAGGGCATCCTGGATTGTAGATTTTGTTGTTAACAGTCAGCTCTTATTTATTTATTTATTTATTTATTTATTTATTTATTTATTTGAATAGGGACAGAGCACATTAATGGACATCAGTGAAAACAAATGTAAATATGCCGGATTGTAGCTACAAAGCTAATTTTCACCCGTAGTCCCTAGTTAAAAAATAACATATAATAAACAATACAAGGATCACAATTAAAAGTTTATATTTTAGTGGTCACATGACTGGCTTGCTTTCATCCAAAGTTTAAGTTGATCTCTAAAGCTGGTCAGTGTGGGGCTCTTTTCATATCAGGTGTTAAAAAAAGGCTTCCACTCCATGCCCGGGACCTACCTCAGCCTGTGGTGCCCCCTGCAGGCAGTCAAACAACCTACAGAGCACCTGGAGATGAGAGCGGACCACAGAAAACCAACACACGTGAGCCAAGAGGACAACGGCCATAAAAATAAAAGAATAAAAAAAATAAAATCCCTCGCCACTTCGCGGTTCACTTATCGCGGATTCGCTATTTCGCGGATTTTCATAATGCATTTTTTTTTTTGGGTGCATTGTGCTCTGCATTCTGATTCGCTAAAAACTCACTCCCGCTTCTTGTATCAAAACATAGGACTAACGCTTGGTCGCTTAGCAACCTTGGTGCGAATGGCCACTTAACTTAAGCGAGTAGCTGAGGAATGGGACCCTTTGATGAGCCGTTCTTTACAGTTCTCCAACGTAATGGATGGTGGCATGTCGGT